TTTTTCAACTTTTTTTTTTCAAAAAGATTTTTTTTGTATATCGAAAATAATTCAGATTTTATTTTTAATTCTGACATAGTTCTAGTATACTTTAAACAAATAATTTCAACCTTGCAATTCGGCTTTAATCTATTTGAAAACATTCAGTATTTCTCGAACATTTCGTTACGGTAAGGGAAGTTCCAGCAATTTGCTCTAAAGCACGATCCCATACATCCCACTAGTTTTAGTTTGATAATTAAGTGTATTCAATTTTAGTTTAATACTTTGTAATTCTACGATGATTTTATTAGACATCGATATTTTTTGTACACTTTTTTGTTTTCGTATATAAAATCATGACATACTTAATCTAACTTGTAAAAATCTAAAAATTTATCATACAGAGATGTGACAACTGTTTGGCTTGCAATTGCAATTTTATTTCAATCATTATTGTTATTTTTAATCTTCTTCTTCTTAAAATGTTTATTTGCAGTGAAATAATCGAAATGGAAAATAATAGATAATTAACTATTTAATACATATATATAGTAGACCATTCATGAGATATGATCAAATATCGTATTCTCTCAGAACTTTAGTGTTAACATTGTATAAAAACCCTCACTCAGAATTGAATTATACATTTAGTAAAAATTATAGGTAATGATATTTTGAGTTATTAGAGTATATCTTTATTGCATGTATATTAAATAACTTGCTTTATATATTGAACCAAAGGATCTCTTTGTTGGAGGAGACCTCTAAACTACTTACTTACCTTATTTATTACTTACCTTAACATTATTACATAGGCTTATAGAAACAATGTATTCTGATTGTCTATTGATTAATAAATAAAAAAAATATATATTGAACAATATGGAACATTTTTATTTCATATAGTTACAAATTTATTGTAGGGAAGTAAATAAGTTTTTGAACAGGCATAAACATACTCATTCCAATTTTAAAAATAAACGGCTAAGAATAACTTGTCGAGAGCACTTGAAATTTGAATTTTCTGTAAATACCAAAGTTTACCTTGAACAAGTTACTTTATACTATGTTTATATTTATTGTGTAATTAATTGAAAAGTGCATTAGTATCAACATAGAAACTATCACCATCGATGATAATGTGAGAGCTGTGGATCCATTACAGAGGTCTGTGTCGCACATGCTGCAGTGGTCAAAACTTACAGTATATGAGGAATTTAAGTAAGATTTTCAAAGTCCTTACATGTATATTTTGCGTCAGCACAACCTCTGTTTACTTCTTCAACTGTATTATTTTTCACTAAAAAATTTTTAATGAAATTAAACTTCGCTTCAATATAATAATAATATATGGAAACATTTATAGTGGCATCACGAAATGTTCTTTTTACAAACAAATATGGATATAGATTAAAATTGATTGTCTGATTGTCTGATTTATTTAGTTAAAAGGGAAAGCAAGTATTAGCTAAGTTATTAATATTTCACTTTGAATACAAAGCAATTTGTATTACCAATTTCTCAAATTTGCAGTATTCTTAACTTTCCTTTTTTAGATTAATTTTTTTAAGTAAATTCGCATTAGGTTATGTATAGTTACATTGATTTTAACTTACAATCTTTGACATGGGCGACAATCTTTGCACATGTGAATTTTATCTTCTCTTCAGCCTTCACATTGCCATTATTAATTTTTGATAGAGGAAAGTTTGAAAATTTATTAAGTCTAGTAATTGAATCGATTGTACATTCTTCATTTTCACTTGGGGAACTGGTGCAATTGGGATTTAGATAGCTACTGCAGGTGTAACATTTTAAAGATGCACCTGTAAAACAAAAAATATATCATTTGGTTTGCATATTTCCATTTTGCATATCTTAATTTTTCATAAGGAAGCTAATAAGAACCTAACTACTTATGAATATATATCATAAATAAAAAACATGTCCGGTTTTGCATATACTATGTTAAATTAGATTACTTACAAATTTAATATTTATTACTTACCTAAGTGCATTACACTAAATAATGTTAAAACTAAGATTGATTTCCACATATTTCCAACTTGTATGTTACTCAATCGATACTTTTACACTGATCGGCGATTAGTTTACCATTAACTGTAATGCGTATTTTTTATTCAGATATCAAATTAACTAATTTATGAGATTAGATACGATCCAAAATTTTGTTATCTTTCTATGTACATGATATAAATTATCACAAAATTAAAGTTATTTTTCTAATCTTACTATCTGAGGCTCACCGTGAAAACTGGCTATATAATATATATATATATATATATATATATATATATATATATATATATATAAGTCGGGTATTCCTTCCTGACGATATAAATCCAGAACGCACGAACCAATTTTGACAATTTTGCATCCTTGAAAAGGTCTCGGGCTCCGCAAGGTTTATAGCTAAGAAAATTAGTGGTGCATGGCATCGTGCCTTAATGCAAATTGTTGAAACTTCACGCACCGTTTTTAAAAATTCGAGTACTAACATTAGTGAGACTTATCAGAAAAAATGTGGTTTACCAAAAAGCACTTCAATGAAACACATAATTTGCGGATTCACTTTCATTTACTAAGAGAGGTTCAACTAAAAACACTTCATTTTTGCAATCGAAATAAATTCATTACTCTTGTGTAATGAAATCAATTTTTTCATTTTCAAATATAAATCAAACAAAAAATTTCTTAATCTTTCTCACGAAACCATCTGGTGGCAAAACGGAGTTCGTCGGGTTTGCTAGTATATATATATATATATATTATATATATATATATATATATATATATATGGTATAGTATTCATTGCCAATGCGATGCAGAATGACATAAATGCTATAGCATTCAAATTTTAAAGTCTATTACTTTGATTTAATTTTATATTACCTTGCTTTTTTTGTAATCATTACACCTTTCAAGGAAATGATTACTGTTCGTTCGCGGACAGTAAAGCAAGGTACAAAAATTGAGAGTAATTTTGTTTTTAAATTGGTTGTGATATCGGAAATTTAATTGAACTTGATTTATAAGGGTATTCACATTATTATATTAATCGTTATATAGGATAAATGCTATAGCACCTATGTCAAGTATTGCGCATATATTTTACGCAATGTACTTGTCCAAGCTTATTAGTAACTCTAGGAGAAGATAAGATTGTGCAAAAATACCTGAAGAATCAGTCATTACCTCAGCTGGTATAATAATTACAAACCGCAAGGCTATTTATATTAAATTCAAAATATTTATTTTTAATATTTAAATGCTATCGTATTCATGCCATTCTGCAGGGCAATAAAAATGTATGATATAGACTTCATGACCGCGAACGTGTTAATAATTGGTATTAGTGTTATCAATCAACAGTAGTTAATAATATAATCTTAATTCAACAGCTTTATTTAAAACTCAGCTTCATAATATATTTTTATTTAATGTATAATTAGTTATTTGAAAAAGTGCATTAGTATACACATAGAAATTATCACCATAGACGATAATTTTAGAGCTGTGGATCCATTACACAAGTCGGTATCGCACATGCTGCAAGATTCCAATGTGGGTGCATTGTCTCCGCCATAGGCTTTTTCCAATAATTCACATGTCAGTGCGACGTCGACGCAACTTCTTTGTACATCTTCAATTGTATTATTTTTTTCTAAAAAATAAGAGGATTATCTAGTTTTAATAATAAATCAAACCAAACTAGTGGTGTATGGCATCGTGCCTGAAGGCAAATTGCTAGAACTTTTCGTACCAAAAATTAAATCGATGTATGTGTGTGTGTCAAAAAATGAAGAAGTTCTGAGAAGAGTGGGCGAAGAAAGGACTCTACTGAGCATAATTCTGAGAAGGAAAGGAAACTGGATCGGACCTCTTTTCCAAAAAGAGTGCCTCCTGCACGACGTCGTCGAGGGTAAAATAGAAGGAACAAAAGGAATGGGAAAAAGAAGAATGCAGACGATTGACAACTTACGCGAGAGGAGAACAACATATAGGGAACTGAAAGCCGAATGATCAAAAAGCATGGAAACAGAAGTTTGGAAAGGAAAATACATGAAATAAAAAAAATGGGGAGAGGGAATAGTGGTAATGGGATGAAGGGTAAGGAAATCATTTGTTTGTGGTGGCTTTTCTCACACCATGGACCTGCTTTCGGGCAGACTACCATTTATTATTATGTGTGTGTATACGGATACAAATTTTCGTCGACGATTGCGGGAACACGAATTTACCGACTTGAATAATTCAAAAAAATTCGATTTGCATTGTTAAGGAGACGTGCTGATTAGTTTTTGGCAAAGGCAGGTCTAGCCGTTTCAAAGATATGGGGCAAAAAATGCCAAAAATAATAATTTAGTTTTTGAGAGAACAGAGCGTTTGCATAATTAAAAAAACATTTCATTTGCATTGACGAAATGAAGTACCGTATGAATTTTTGCGGAGACAAGTCTAGCCGTTTTATACAAAAAAATTCGAAATATATAAAAAAATTCTTTTTTTTTCTTCAAAAAAGAACATTTTTTTCGTCAATGTCTTTTTTTTACAAAGTTTTCAAATAATTTTAAAGATTTTCGAAGAAATTAATACACGGTACGGGAAGTTTCAGCAATTTGCCTTAAGGCACGATCCTATGCACCACTAGTTTATTCCAATTTTGTAATTTACTGCGTTTAGCAAAGAAATATTGAGTTGCACATACCATCTCTGTAACTGATGATCAACCTTGCGCATCTGTGTTGTTTAGCCCCTCCATTCGGAATTAGGGCACAGTCACTTGATGATACCTCTCCTTTTAGAGAACGATCGCAATTGTGATCTATTATTTTATTGCAGGTGTAGCATTTTAATGATGCACCTGTAGAACCAGAAATTATCTATATATATATAAGATATATATGTATACACATTACATTCAAAAATAGTTTTTGTATTTCATGTATTACAGTAATTCGATAACAAACATATTTCATGTTTATTACATACCTAAGTGCATTACGCTAAATAATGATAAAACTAGGATCGTTTTCCACATAGTTGCAACTTGCTTGATAGGTTATATTTTTACACTGATCGATGATTAATTTAACATCAACTCTAATGCGTATTCTGTTAATTCAGGTATTAAATTTACAATTATTTGAGATTAGATACGACCCAAAATTGTATGTTATCTCTCTATATACATGATACAAAGACCACACACTATCAAATTCATCGATACCGGAAGATTACTATTAATAGTATACCCACACGCATTATATATATATATATATATATATATATATATATATATATATATCAAAAATCAAATCGGAAGATAACTAATAAAACTGGTTCAATATATATAGATATGGAGGTCTGTTCAAATAGTTTGCCTCGGTTGCTCCTTTTTTGACATAAGATTTTGTAACATTATTTATTATTCAATTACAAATAGATTGTTTAAAAGATAAGATTAATAAGTAATTATATTGAAAACACTAACAATTTTTATTTATCAATTACTGTAATATGTACATATCTAGCCAATATTGCAAAATTCTTATCAGTGCATGTGAAAGAAAAACTATTATTTTCGAAAATATATCAATATTATTATAAGTAAAGAAATTGTCATTCCGAATGAACTTCTGAGGTCTAAAGACCCATTACACAAGTCAGTGTCGCACATGGTGCAATTTAGATCCCGGGCTCCTTTATTTGTTAAATCTTTCTTTATTTCTTCACATGTGACTCGGGCAGGGACACATTCTCTAATCACACCTTTTTCTATAAATCCATGATTGACTGAAAGAGAAAAAGATCATTTTATACGGAAAATGCCAAAATTAAAATAATTCAAGTAGAGAAACTGACTTTTTCAAAATTAAGTTATCGTGACTTAGTAGATTAGATTAGTGAAAATCCATAATACTGAAATTCAACATTTGTGTAGAGAAGAATTGTCCATTAGCCATTTAATGATAGAAATTGTATACTATCAATATACATTTCTACATCTATATGATTTTAACCTACAGTTTATTGTAAAATTCCTATCTTTATTCTTATACTTACAAACTCTTTCTCCAGTAACCAACAGACATCGGAAGCTTTCTTCTTCTTTGTTTTTCTCAAGTTCATCTAAATCATATGTCGAATTGTCTTTCAAAAATGAATGAAAAATTTTGTTCCTAGAATATGGTCGTGCTTTGTTGCAAACTGGTAGAGTACCAGCCAGAGGAACTGTGCAGTTCGAATTCTTTGCAAGTTCACAACTGTAACACTCCAAACTTGCACCTAAATAATAAAAAATAAATATTAGTATAAATTTTAAAGTGATTATGAAAAAAGTTTTCGAGACATAATTCCAGCCAATCGTCATAAATTTAAGAAAAAAGAATTCAGATTGTGTAGTGAAATGATGATGTGATTGATTACACACTATTTATATTAATAGTATTTTATTTTAATTTTTTAGTTATAATATGAATGATATATTATAAATTAATTCATATTTTATTTTTTCTAAGAAAAACAACTGCTTTGGAAATATTTTTAAAGTTATGAATTAATTATGAATGAACCAATAATTATAGAAAAATCCCTCTTGTAAAAGCATATAATGATTAAAGCAACATATATATTAGGGTGGTCCTTAATATGGATATTTTCGACATTCTCTGTTCCCAAGGGCTCAAATGCTTCTAAATTGATAAAAAAATATTTTTGAAAGTTTTAGCTCCTAATAAAATTATTATGTATATCAATATTATGTTGTATTTTTGAAGTAAAGCTTCTTTAGGCGTCACATGGGTGTAAATCGGTACAAATGCAACGGAAGTGAGTTACGGCAAGTTCGAGTGCCAGTGATTTATCATTCGCTCTCGATTATATTATTTATAGAGGCTCTTGGTATGCGTGTCTTTATACGTACGTACGTCACCGAAAACATGAAGCATATTGTTCATTTATCATTGTTTCATGTCATTATATTTTAAGGTTAAATATTATTAGAAATCTTGAGTTAATAAAAAATGTCTTTATTTTAATTGAAGTACTTTGTATTATTCGTGGTTACTATATATTTTTGAGATTTAATTAAATGAAAATTATTTTTATATGTAAGACAGATACTACAACTGTTCAAAGAATGAAACTGTATCGCCAGCGAAAAACTAAAATAAAAACAAGCAATCAATGATTGTACGTTAATTTTAATTACATGAAGTTATTCAAACATAATTACATGACAAGTGAATTGTGAAAACAATATTTAATTAGGCGTTGTTTAACATAATAAATTTCTGCATTTTTATAGATATTAAAAATATTAAAGCCGTAAAGCTTTATTCTAACATGTCGATGATATATCTTTTTCAGAATTATATCTCAGACACTTTTGGAATTTTAGATAAAGTTTGTGTGTGTGAGTGTGTGTATGTAATACAATGCTAAAATGTATATCTTCCAAATGTGATTTTTATCATCAAAACTAAATTGCCGAAACCATAATGTATCTACTTACCAAATCGCAGCACGCTGAAAAATATCGTGAATTGAATAAACTTCCACATATTTTATAAATTTTTGATACTAATCACTTCTCAACAACGCAAAATCAGAATGCATTGAACACTTTTACTATATATCATTGCACAAATTAATAGAAATATGTTTCAGATAAGCGTTGCAAAGCTATTTTCAAGATAATAATTTTTTCTGCTAAAGTACTTGTTATCTCATATATATTTAATCTAGCAGATGTTTTCCACAATATTGTCATATATATATATATATATATATATATATATATATATATATATACACCTTTCACAGAAATAGACTAATGTAATTTTTCTTGGAAATACTTATTAGATAATCTGGAAAATGTCTCATTTTGCAAAATTTGCGGAAATCCTACATCATACATAATTCACTTTACACCTTAAATTTTTTTTTAACAATTGTCTACATAAACAATTTTCAGAAAACTTGATGACACACCCAATTTCAATGTATGAAGTTGTGATTAGCAACTGTTTTGTATTTTACTACCATAAATGTTTAAAAATTATACGCATCTTTTATATATTTATGTAAAATATTAATTCGTATACATCAGAATGTATTTTTATTTGCAAATTTTATTAAACAAATAACATAACTATGATTTTTTTTCTATTTACAACGTAATAGCATCCTTGGAGTTTTATGAAACAGATTGTTGTTCATCTGCTGATAAGAAGAAAATTTAGAGATTCATGAATATTCAATGCAATTTAAGATTTTATCATTAATTTGATGGCCTTTTTATGGTTTTTATTCCATAAGGAGATAAAATACAAACCTATTTCCACTTGAAAATTTAGATCAAAACATGTTTTCATGTGAAAATAACTTCTGTTAACCTTAAAATATATTGCAATAATTAACAAGTTACTCTTTACAATTATTTAGAAAATCTCGATCTACTAAAATTTGTTCACAATTTAACGTAGTATAACAAATGCAAAATTCTGGTAGCATTTGGTGACTTTTGTACGAGTATGTCTTACATATAAACTTCATTACTTGATACAGCAAACCATACCATATATGTAAAATATATTTGCTGCGTCTAAATACAGCCCTGGCTGAAAGCGTAGCAAAACTATTTTTCAAGGTAACTATTTTTGTTCTGGAGTACTTGTTGTCGCCATTATTATCGATACTAGCAGATAATTTCCAGAATTATATACCTATATACCTATATATATATATATATATATATATATATATATATATATCATCATTCACAGAAATAAACTGCTGCTTAGAATAATTCACACTATGTTCGATTTTTTTACTGCCTAAATTGTAAATGGATGGATCAATACAAGAATCTCAAATATGCAAAATTAAATAACTTTCCATAATAAATAACAGTTAGCTTTATTTTATAATTTTTACATATTCTGATTTCAATTCAATATAACAAGTTGTATTTCTAATCCAAAATAAATTAAATAAAATTCAGTTTAATTTTTGATATGCAATGCAAAGTGTAACAACATTTTTGAACTACGGGTTTCTTCATAATCAGTATTCTATCATAATATGTCTAATTATTTAATTATTTCATTATTTAAAATAATGTAATGATATCAACAACACAATAAAAATGATTGTCAAGTTTGAAATTTGTAAAAATGAAGATCCATTACACAAATTTGTGTTGCAAAAACTGCATGTTATATTTACGACATCAACCTCTTGCAATTGTTCTTTTATCTTATCGCATGTAAGAGAACTAGGTGCGCAACTTCTTATTATTCCTTTCTCCACAGCATCACTATCTGTAACAAATGAGAAATGAGTAATTAAATGAGTATATGCAAAACTCCTGTATTTGAAAATTTTAAATAAAAAATAATATACTTACTGATTTGACCATATCCAGTAATTGTCACACACTTGAAACTGTCAACCTTCATTGCTCTTTCGATAGCCCTCAAAAAAGTGTTATCTTCTCTTCGTGACCATTCTGGTGGCAGTGACTCGTCTTTGCATGTTCCATGTGGTACATCTCCATCGAGAGGAATTGTACAATTTTCATTTCCCGGAAAATTGCATGTGTAGCATTCTAATGATGTAGCTATATATATGAAGTAATAAGTATTTGAATTTTATCTAAGCACAATAAATATACATAACAATATTCGAGTCGTATTGAATAAGCAAACCATGCATTATTTCTTGAGACAAATTTCTTGAACACTCCGTATCGTAATTAAACATTCCAGGAATTACAATAATCAATAATCAGTAAGAAATTATCAATGATTTATAAAAACTAATTTATATATTTTCTATTTTATTTTATTTTACAGTAATTAATGCCCCTGGTGTGCATAAATAAATTTTCTCAATAAAACTAATACAAAAAAGCTGAAAATATATAGCATTAACTCTTTGGGGACGGCTGTCCACCTGAGTGGAGAAATATACTTTGTGAGGCACAGGCTATTTTATAAACAATGACTAAATTTCCATCGAAAAGTTGAATGAATCAGATACAGCAGTGTTAAACAGTATTGTATTTTGAAAATAATTTTAAGTTATTTTAGTAGTATTTTTAGCCTTTTTCTTTGCTATAATATATAGTCTTTTTTTAATATTTAAAACGACTGAACGCTTTTAAATATGGCAAAACGACAGGTAAATTTTGTGAATTAAGCAGTAGTGAAGATGAGTTTCAAATAGACATTCATACAGACAAATTTTACGAAATTACTATTCGCACCGAAGATAGTAATGAATGTGATGATGATATTATCCAAACAACAAAAAGAAGAAGAAGCTCGACAAATTAAATGAAGAGCGGAAAGACATTATCGAATGTGACCATTCTTCTTCAATAATCGAGTTTGACATACATCAACAAACACCCCGCCTACAAATACCAAGCAATATAAGACATGCAATATATTATTTTACTTTATATTTTATAAATGAATTTTTTAATTATTAGACAATATAATAGAAAAAACAAACCATTTTGGTAGCACAAAAATGAACAAATATACTGACTAATCAGTGGCATATTCAAAACGCGAGAGAAAGAAAAAGGGATTGTATTGTCTGTTCTGGCAGAAAAGCACCAGGAGGAAGGCGGCAAGGCGGCGAACAACATTTTATTGTAAAACATGTCAAAATCAACCAGCTATGCATTTTGAAAATTGTTTTGAACGTCACCATTCTATATAAAATGATCAAAAATAAATTAATATTATAAATGTATGTCTTTCAATGACCACAAATTATTATCAAACAAATTTCATAACATACACAATGAAATCAAGTTTACCGCCGGTACAATAGATTGTTTTGAAATTGGTGCCGTCCCGTAAGTGTTAACATAAAAATTCAAAAACCTTTAACTTCTTTGCTTTTCAAAATTTATGCAGACAAAGTCGTATGTACCACCAGTTATTAATAATTCTGTGATATTCACATAGAAATCATTTTTGAAAACATTTACCGATCATTTGCCTGCCTTATCATTTGCGACCGTCTGCTAAGTTACCAAAGTGTTAAAAAAAAAATTGTAGATAGGAATTAAAATCATAAACACCAACAGAGGGCAATTGCATCAACAATATCGATAATTCGATACAACTTCAAATGGTTTGTTTACCAATAGAAGTTCCGGTCTTCAGCTTAGGTTTTGGCAACGATCAAAATATTTTTTTATTTTGTTCCTACCTCTGGCTGGGATCACACCGGCGTGTCGTCGGCCCGGACGCCAAAGCAAACGGGCCGACGTCGTCGCATATTCGAGACCGAGAAATCAATTATATTAATTAAGTTAGTGCTAGAATTCTTCATAACCTAGTTTAATAAGTGAGTATTGTACTTTTTTTAAATTTTATTTTTTTACAATATGTTTGTATGAACACGTCATGTTATGCCATATCTGTTTACAACGATTTAGTAGTTTCAGGAATCTTTTACAGTATTTTTAAAACAAATTTCTAAATTTTTTGATCGGAAATAGTGTTTCAGTTAAACTTTTATTTAATTTTTTATTGGACCTTTAAATGAACTCTTCAATTCACTTTTTCCGCAGTTTTGCATATTACTCACACTCACCGCGTTATCGGAGGGTTGACAATAGTTATTATTGTTTAAAATAATCATATTGAATTTTATTTTGATTATTTCTTTGTTTTATGAAGACCAGTTTCTGGGCGTTGTTATCTTTATTTACGTACACAATAATACTAGATGTACGATCGACATACGCTTCTTATGCAGAAAAATTTTACAAGTAATAAAATAGTATTAATATAAAATAGTATTTTTTAACTTACATGAATGCAACACTCCAAAAAATAAAAGAATATTAAAAATTTCCTTGAACATGTTCACTGTTTATGGCAAAAACTAAACTTTAATTAACTGGTTAGTATAACAATTTGTTTAATAGTGACTGATTGTTTCTAAATGATCGCCATCTGCAATGTTATCATTTAAGAATATATATATATATATATATATATATATATATATATATACTATACACGTATACACGCCTTTTGTTTACTTATCTACATACTTAATCACTCGAAAGTAAATTGTTGTGATTGTTATTCCCCACCTGTAAAAAGTTGCTCCAGCAATTTCTGTTGCATCATTCGTGATTATTCTATTAAATATGAAATTTTATTACTAATATTTTATAATATTCTCCTAATTCATTTTTATTTATTTTTTTATCCAATAATTTTTCACAACTTTATCATATCATTTTAATAGTATAAGGCTTTATACAGCATCGTTACACTCATAGTGAGTTTTGTGCCTTCTTTTATTTTTATCTATAACTAGCCGGCCCGACAGACTTCGTCCTGTCAAAACAAATTGTAATGTGGCGGTGTTTTGTGCCTACCTTTTTTTCTATTCTTTGTAAAAAATTATCCTCAACAGAACCGTCACCCTGGTAATAATTCGGTGTGAATTAAAAATAATTAAATAAAACACTATAAGAATTTAAAAGTAAGTAATTTTAATAATGTAAATCATAATTCAAAAATCAGTTCAATTTTCATTGTAGTGCTTTGTGATAAACGATGTTTTTTGTTTGATTACCTGGCGCATAGACAAACAAATCTGATGGTTTTCCAATACGGGAACAAACAACATACAATTTTCCATGTGAGAAACATGGGTTTTCTAAATTAATACCACAAACACTTAATGATACCATAAACGCACTGGAAACGCATTGGGATGCATGGTGCGAGAACATCTTCTGCTTTATGCTATCCTTTGAATATAGTTGGTCGATATTTCGCAACATTATAATTTCCGATCCAACCTTTAATTGAAGATTGTGAGGTGACAATCCTAGCAAATCCAGCGAGTTTAAAAACTCCGGTGGATCGTCTTGGTTAGTTGCCGAATCAACTGATTCGCCTGTAATTTGTTCTTGAATTTTGAAATTTAATTAATTTACATCAATGTTTTTGGCTGCCAATATAGCTTGATTAATAGAAAGATATTTCTATGTTTATATAAATATATTCAAAATTAGATTATCAAAAACTACACAAAATGTCATGACATAGATCATTGTTTTTTTTACAAATTGCGTTGCCTACTCGATTAAAGAAGAAAAGGGCTGTTTTTAGGGTTTTCTCGGCAATTATTCGTTTTTTTCTTGCCGTAACAACCATCTTCGGACTTCAACGAACATTTTAGAAAAAGAATTGGCCAAATTGGTCTAGGCGTTGTTGAGTTATGCGCTTACCAACACATTTTGCGATCCATTTTTATATATAAGATTATTATTAATTCTCATTATATTAACTACAAAACACTGCTTAATATATTCAATTATGTAACCAAAACTATGAATCATCCAATGTTACCTAATTTTTTTTTATTTCCATAGTTTTATTGTCAATCAAAATAATATACATTTTTTAAGACAATATACTGGATGCTATTTTTTAAGACAATATGCTATTAAATTCCAAAAGGTGAATGCTAAGTTATTGCTAGAAAATCCTATTTGCTAATAATAATAATATTGGACGTTTTTTGTTAAAATGAATAGAAAAATGTAAAAAATAACGATTAAAAACAATTAAAAACTGATTAGATGTGTATGGTGCTGATTGTTTTTTAGTAAAGATAGGTTTGTCGGTTGTTCTTTTTTTGATATATAATTTTTTTGTTGGCATTTTTTATGAAACATGGCCTTAATAAACTACCTAAAGGATTATAGGCCTGCATTTAAAATGATTTAAAATGACCAATAACAAGAATATCAATTGGAAATTATTCAGAATTGACAAAACTAGAATAGAATTTTAGTTAAACTAGTTTCGAAGAATTTTTCTTTACAAGAATTGTTTCTGTAACAGATAATAGAAACTATTTTTAAAAATTGCAAAAAATTATTTTTGCAATTAAAAAATATATATTTTATTCATCTATAAATCACAAATATAAATCATTAGATTTCCTTACAAATTATTCATTGTAAAATATCGATGAAATTATATCAATGAATAGAAACTTAACTTAAAAAGCAATTTTCCATGAATATCTTTGAATCTTAAAAATTATTTATATATGTAAATTGTTATTATACTTAATGAATTTTCAATGGATGTAACATCCATGGAAAATTTTTGAATGGTTATTTATACATTTTTGGCAAATTCTTTTGTTATTCTCAACTTTGTTTTAATTTTAGGTTTTAATATTTCCAAATATTTCCAAACTGTGCAAAGTGCTAGCCTTAGCATTTATTTTGTAATTTTAGTTCTAAAATAAAAATCTACAATTTTCAAAAGTTTAATTAATTCAATAAAAAAATGTAACTCAAGGTATATATATACACGCGCGTTCTATAAATATATTTAAGAAATTAAAGATAACTAATTTTTTTTCTTATAAATTACAATCTATCTAAATAGAAAGACATTGAGTAATTAGTTTGAAAAATGACATAGAATTTTAAAAGAAAAACCCAGTTGTTCACCTTTTATTAATGTACTAAATTATATCTTAATTAAATTTTGGTATATTTAAAAAAATAGCTTTAAAATTTCTATTTTATATTTTTACTCTGGAATTGTATCATATCAACCAACAATTATATCACATCGCAATGTACGCGTGAATTTACTATCGAATTAATAATTTAATTTATACTTGTTTCAGTCTAAATATATCATTTATTTTTAATATCTTGCTAGAACAATGATTGCATTTAAATTTATTATTAAAGACTGTGATCTTTTCCTTTTTCTGATAAGATAATTTGATACGATTGAACATACTTCGATAGATATCAATATATCTAATCAATGGTTCTAAATAACAATGATAAGGTATTATGGATACACTGCGCAATAAAATTAAATAATAATATTCAATTACATTTTTTTCATTTATTTTTGTAAATAAGACATTAAAGTCTTGATTAACAAAAATAAATTGTAATAAAAAAAATTCATTTGATAGTGCCCGATTTAAAACTAGAATAAATTTGAATTTTTATTTTTAATTTATATATTATTTTCATATGTCAGCCAGGCAGCGGTAACTGGTATGAGAGATCATGAAACAATTTTCTTAAAATTTAATTTCAATTTTAATTTTTACATCGAATCCAATAAACTTCTGCAAATGTGATTTAATATATTACTAATTTACTCCTCCATTAAATTTCTACTAAATTTCAATCTATAAATAGAAGTCAATGTACCTACCTATT